GTATGGTAGGGGCCTATTGGGCCTAGGCTGGATGTATAGCCCATTAGTGTTAGGGTTAATTAGAGATAAGGGTCGCTTGCTTAGGAGTCAAGTAAACCTCTCTATATAAGGAGAGGTGATGTATCAATCTAATCAAGCAAGAATTAAGAAGGAAATCCCTTCCCTCTTATCCGGCCGTGGGCAAACGCCCCGCGGCCGGCTCTCTCTCTCACCCTCGCAGCCCTAGACGTGAACAGTACCCGTGGTACTGTAGCGCCGCAGGTACTGTAGCGCGTCAGCCGCCGTCGCTTCCCTAGACTCTCTTCTCTCAATCCTAGCAGTCCCATAACAATACTAATGATTATTTTTCTCTCCAATCTACCACTTTCATCAGTTTCTTTACCCTTATGTGTTATACTAGACTTTTAGGATCTTGCATGTATACTGAGATGCTGTCAGACTGGATGACATGGACATGCATAGTAGATCATTAACTGTGAGCTGCCAAATTTTGAGCAAAGTTTTTGAACGAAATTTATGTGTTTTCCCTAGGTTGTTGTCATGACGCATGCGTATGGAAACAGATCTGGAGTACGATATGTCACAAATGGTTTAAAGGTCTATTATGTACCATGGAGGCCATTCCTGATGCAGAATACACTTCCTACATTATTCTTGACCTTTCCAATTGTAAGGACAATTATTATTCGAGAGAAGATTTCTGTCGTGCATGGACATCAAGCTTTTTCAACACTGTGTCATGAAGCATTAATGCATGCTAGGACAATGGGGTACAAAGTTGTCTTCACAGATCACTCACTTTATGGTTTTGCTGATGCTGGAAGCATTCACATGAATAAGGTGCTGCAGTTTACTCTTGCAGATATTGATCAGGCAATATGTGTCTCTCATACAAGCAAAGAGAACACTGTCTTGAGGTCTGGGATATCTCCAGAGAAGGTTTTCATGGTTCCTAATGCAGTTGATACTGCAATGTTTACTCCCTCCCCCAAGCGCTTAAGCTGTGATGAAATAGTTATTGTTGTGATCAGTAGATTAGTATACCGAAAAGGTGCCGACCTTCTTGTTGAAGTCATTCCAGAAGTGTGTCGTCTATTTCCAAAGGTGAGTTTGAGCTACATCACAATATAAGCCAAATAACCCTGGTGAATTGTGTATGTACACACTAAGGGAGAGCCTTTGTTACACAGCATATAACAAACTCGATCACCAAATGTTTTGATTGACGTGCATGTAAAACAAAGTCTATGGCAGTACATTTTTATTGGACAGTAGAGTTTGGCTGTTTTCATGAAGTCATCTTGCACCATTATTTTCTTATTGTATGTCTTGTTTTGATTTTAGGAAGTTGGTTGTATTTTGTCAATTAATGATGCCATGGACTTGTCAGGTTCGCTTTATTGTTGGTGGTGATGGTCCAAAACGTGTGCGCCTTGAAGAAATGAGGGAGAAGTTCTCCCTTCAGGATAGAGTTGAGATGTTAGGAGCTGTACCTCATGCTCAGGTGCGATCGGTTCTGATATCTGGACATATATTTTTGAACAGGTAAATTCTTCCTACATTTTCATCATTTCAAGTTGAAAATCTTGTTTCTATTCTCCAGTGTGTTCATCCCTCTTTTTCTTGATGGACTTCGATCTTGAGCCATTTGAATTTGGGATACCTTTTCTGTGCTTGCAATAGAATTTTGACATTCTTATATCAGATTATTTAAGTTCTCTTGAGTATGTGGTCCAAAAACACAAACTAGGAATATGATTTAATACACAAGTTTATTCATGGACATAATGGGTAGTTTTCTTCTGAATTCTAAATATATTTTAGATGGATCAGGAGTTAACTGAAGGATGATAACTTTTCGCTCATCTTGCATCACCTACCTTCATTGTCAATTATGACATAGTGCTATAGAGAAACTAGTTGATAGGAAAATTAATCTCTGGGACAGATGCAAAGGGTTTGACCATTTTATGTATAATACTGTAAGTAACACTGAAACCTAACCTTTGTTATTTTTAGTTCACTTACAGAGGCATTTTGCATAGCCATTCTAGAAGCAGCAAGCTGTGGACTGTTGACAGTGAGCACGAGAGTCGGTGGTGTCCCTGAGGTATGTGGTTATGATCTTAAGTTTCACTTTTACAGAAAATCCCAACCTTTGTCAGATGATTTTTCAGTTTCATGCAGTTCATTATTTCTTTTTACAGGTTCTTCCAGATGACATGATAGTACTTGCAGAACCAGCTCCTGGAGATATGGTAAGAGCTGTCAAGAAAGCCATCGACGTGCTACCTGGCATAGACCCCCAAATTATGCATCTTCGGGTAAGTCTAAACTCTCAACATTCCACACCTTAATTGTACCCTTTCCATTGTGTTCATTTTGCATTAGCCTCTATTTAGTTGGAGTTTAGTGTGTGCAAGGTCCTTGTTCTTGATTGATCTTCTTCTGTTTTGCATCCTAGATGAAAAAACTTTATAGTTGGGATGATGTGGCCAAAAGAACTGAGATTGTTTATGATCGTGCAATGCAGTTTCCAACAACAAATTTACTAGATCGCCTTCCCCGGTGAGTAAACACAAGATGCTGATGACTCATCTTGTTTCTTCAATAGATTTTATTAATGAAATAATGTATATCTGTTTTTTGTCTATCATTGAGTAACAAAATTTATTTCATCATCCCCTCCTGTTCTTGTGCTAAATCAATTTATACGTTATTGTGGCAAATAATGTTTAGATCTTGTCAATTTATTATCCATATCTCCACATTTTCACTGGCATCCAAATTGAAATACATTTGTTCATTTGGTGCCTCTAATGGTGCAGATATCTTACTTGTGGATCTTGGGCTGGAAAACTGTTTTGCCTAGTTATGATCATCAATTACCTACTATGGCGCCTTTTAGAATTCCTACAGGTATTTGTGTATCCATTGCATTCTCTCTCCTTTTACCTGTTTTTAGATTTGATGGAATCCTTACATGAGTTTTCTTCCTCAGCCTGCTGAAGGTATTGAAGAAGTCCCAGATATAGGGCCACTACATGCTCATTTAAGTTCAAAGAATGATTTTTGAGGCCCAAGAGAAGTGAAACTTACATTTTTGTCAGTTTTGAAATGGTTGGGGACTTGGGGTTGCAATCATGGTATCTTCTGCTTGTCAGCATCCGTTCTGATCCACATACAGGGTATACCTTTTTGATTTGGCTCCCACACAGCATTTTCTCTTGAAGCTTCCTGTTTCTGTAGTGGGAACTGACAGAGAGAGCAGCGCCTCTGATTTGGAGGATTTCTTGTCATGCTGGTGGTGAAAGCTATGGTCCAAGTCTGTGTCATTGCCAGCTCCTCTCTTTTTTAGCCTAGTGAGTTGATAGGCCGCGTTCTTATCTCCGGATCATTAATCAACAAAGAATCCTCTGTAACAATGGTACTCTCTTTTGCCACCAGATTGCAGTGTTTGAGCCACATCTCGGTTTTTGACTTGTACTGTTTCTTGATTCTCACCAAGAACATTAGGATATCACAGTATCCAGTGCTAGAAGTCTTGATTGGCATCTCGTGTGATAACACCTTGTGATGTCTTGTATCGTGTCGGAGCACCAATTCCTACTACTACGTTTGTGATGTATGTAAGGCCAATTCCAACCAGCGAGTGTGAATCCAATCTGCATGGCTCCAGTTGATAATATACTGAGTACAAAAAATGCAATCCCTTTCGGCACTTTTCAGAATTCAAGACTTTGATCATTCGCTTTTGTAAGATATGAGTTTTTTTTTTTTTTTGAGGGAGTAAGATATGAGTTTTTTCAGGGACTATTCAATTCAATTCTTATGGAATGGGTTTTTGAAATTTTTTGTTTTACGAGTGTTACATGAACTTGTTCCAATTGGAATATATGTGTACCTCCATTCAACGGCTTGTTTTCCCAGTTTAATTTAATTTAAAAATGCAGCTTGTGTGGTACGCGTTATGTGCTAGTTCCTTTTCGTTTTTCTGCTTTCTGGTGTGTGGCCAGCAACGTGTCGTGAAAACGTCAGTGCGAAAAGCCTGCTTATTCAACTGAGGCCTAGTTGGCGAAAATTTTTGGGAAATGATAATATAGTATTTTTATTGTTATTTGATAATTAGTGTCCAATCATAGTCTAATTAGATTTAAAAAATTCGTCTCGTGAATTTTGTCTAAACTGTGTAATTAGTTTTATTTTTTATTTATATTTAATGCTTCATGCATGCGTCTAAAGATTCGATACGACGGGGAATCTTGAAAAATTTTACAAAATTTTAGAAACTAAACAGGCACTTAACTTCAGAATCTCTCCTAGGGGGGAAAATGTTTGGAAGCTCTATAATAAGAAGTCAAATTTCTTTCTTGTTTTCATTCTGTTTTTTCGTTGAAACCTGTCTAATTTATACTACGTCTTACTGTATTTTGTAAAATAAATGGATTAATTAAATTTCGAGCATTAGCAGTTTATAGCACGATTCATTTTGGAGATACTTCGTCCAAACCAAAAACTAGGAAAAGGTCTACACAAACACGAAGGCTTGACTGTACTTTGGATTTTTTTCAAAGCCAACAAAAAAAAAAAAATCAGTTCAAAAGATTGCTGCTTTTCATTTCAGTTCTGCTGCTCCTATTCTGTTTCAGAAGATTAGCAATTCGAAATTACAAAGATCCTGATTGTACCCAATCAAAGGATACAAAACCTTTTCTACCCTTTCTACAAACACTATTGCATCTTCTCGGTAATCGAGAAAAAAAAGATTGACGTTCTCAGAAACTGCGGGGGAAGGGAATCCTGAATTCCTCCTCGTCCTCCCACTTTCCCAAAGAACGAACAAAGAACCGCCCTTGTTCTCTGCCCCCGTCGCCACGCCTCCCGAAGCGACAGCGAGGACTCCAACAAGTCAAGGCGGAGCCCGGCCAGCGAGGCGGGCGGAGGGAACCAGAGACCAAGGCGAGGAGCGAGGAAGCGCCAGAGGGAGGGGGCGGCAGGGCATGGCTCGCCGGCCGGCGTCGTGGGAGCAGGGCGGCGACGAGTACGACTACCTCTTCAAGGTGGTGCTCATCGGCGACTCCGGCGTGGGGAAGTCCAACCTGCTCTCCCGCTTCACCAAGAACACCTTCGCCCTCGACTCCAAGTCCACCATCGGCGTCGAGTTCGCCACGCGCACACTCCAGGTCCGACGAATTTTGCACCTCTCCCCTAGTTCCCTGTCTCTTGCTCCACTTGTGGTGGTGGCAGCAAATTTTTATCTTCTACAAGTGCATAATAGTATGTTTGACTTGTAAATGTTCGCGGGGCAGATTCCTCGCTTCACTTGGGTGCTCTGTCTATACGAGATTCTTGGCTGGCAACCGGCAGCAACCCCATAGAATTGCGCCTTGTTCGGATTTGGAATTTGGTTAAGTTATGCTTATGATGGTGGATTGGGTTTCTTGTCTTCAGAAAGTACTAGGAGAACTCTGCCGTTTAGTGTTCAATATAAATATTGGTATGGTCGTCTCGGTACTTTGTCAACTTTTCCCCCATGGGAAGTTGCCCAAGGGTACGCGCGCGGATGTGCTGGTGGCCACAAATTATCGATGCATGTTTAATTTGGTGGCAGTTACTTTTTTCAGGCCATGGTTGTTGGGCAAAATATTCAGTGCAACCCCCATGGTTGTTGAGGTCTCGAAATGAATGATAACTTGAATGAAGTGACTACTGACAGATATTTACTTCTTCTGGTTTGAATTCTTCTGTTTAGACTCAGGCCATGGTAGTTTGCTCTTATTGATTACCCACTCCTCTCCCCAGCATCACTCTAAGCAATAAAGAGGTGTAATTTGGTGGAAAATGTTATATCACAATTGTTTATTATGTTTGCCTGGGGGATTGAATTTTGAATTCATTTGTTTTCGTTTCACATTAATTTTCATTTTTTTCGTTTCACATTAATTAGGATACTGCAATACTCTGCTTTGTGATAATCTTGCTTCCGCACCCTAGTGAAATGTACAGGCATTTGTTCTGGTTCCTCAATCCCAGACCTTGAGGGACATGAATCGTTACAGGGAATGAAGAAAAGAAATTCTTTTCTGATTGGTTATTGTGTTTGAAGGTTTGGTAGCGATATTCGAACTGAAAGTTCTCGTTGTTTGTTGGAATAGATTCAGTTAGTAATCAGATCAACGATACATGGACAAATAGTTAGTTTATCAATGCACTATATGATGTTTTTCCAACTATGAAATGCTATAAAGGTTTTACTACCATTTGGCAGATTGCCATGATGAAATATGATTTACTGCTTGGCTATGTTGTTAATATAAACCTGTATTTTAGTAAATTTCATGCATCTGCTTAAGATTAATGAATGCAATGTCTAAAACTGCTTCCATTTATTTTTTAATACCATATTAGTACCTTAAACTAGGAATATACAAAAATCAGAGGCCAAATATGATATTGAATGTGGATCTACCAGAATCTTAGTATGTAACATGAATGCAACTGCTTATACTTATGTACGGTATTAGTATATTCAGCTATGGATGAGAAGAAAACCTGTGACATAACATGACATTAGAGCCAGTTTGGCTGGACTAAATCCCAGCCCATTCCACACGGGTGGGTCAGGATTGATCTAAATTGCTGGCGGATCCATTTGGACTGGGCAAGGATTTGATCCAGTCACCATGGAAGTTCAGTATGTAACAGCATTTGAAACAAATGATCTGAAGAAAGTTCCTATTTAATTTTATTATTCAGATAAATTGATCATTATTTCACTTATATGTGATGCACATTGCATTTACTTATGAATTGATTTTGCTTTTTATTAACACAATAATACTTCTTTTCCCACTGCTACTGAAGAAATAAGTTACAAAATTTGATTTCTCTGATTCAGGTGGACAATAAGACTATAAAAGCTCAAATTTGGGACACTGCTGGGCAGGAGAGGTATCGAGCAATTACAAGTGCTTACTATCGTGGAGCTGTAGGGGCATTGCTAGTCTATGATGTCACTAAGGTAATGACATTTGAGAATGTGAAGAGGTGGCTGAAGGAGCTCCGGGACCATGCTGACTCGAACATCGTTGTCATGCTCATTGGCAACAAGATCGACCTTAGACACCTGCGTTCTGTCGCGGTTGAGGATGCTGCAAGCTTTGCAGAGAGCGAAGGTTTGTTCTTCATCGAGACCTCTGCACTTGATGCAACAAACGTCGAGAAGGCTTTCCAGACTGTTCTAGCTGAGATCTACAGAATAATCAGCAAGAAGCCCCTGTCTTCTGAGGAGTCTGGTTCAGGGTCTGGTAACCTCAGAGAGGGACAATCCATTCAAGTGTCAGCCACAAATTCTAGTGCTCTTACGTCAAGGTGCTGCTCTTCTTAGAGCTGGTCACCAGGCTCATCTAAAGAACAATTTGTCGAAAAGGTTCTCTTTCGAGACATACTTTGTCAAAATATTTATCCTTTGTGTGAACAATAAGTGTAGATTTTAAAAATGTCAGACTCGAGACACTGACTATACTTGACCTGCATAGTCATGTTCTGTCGAGAGGTGCTGTGGGAGAAAAGTTGTATTGCTCTCGAGCAGAGAAGAAGGCTATGTATCACCCCCAGCAAAGCTCCTTGCTCTTAACTAGTAGCAGGGTAGTCTTTGTATGATATGCAGTTATAATTTTTATTGGGGTTAATTATTCTACTTCTATGACTGAAGAAGCTCTCATGACTTGTGTCAACTTGTTGATTCCCGGTTGATCCCAAGAATAGATGCATTATTCCATTGTTTGTGCCCCCAGGCCTCAGCAAATGTGCCAGAATCCGTAGTATCAGATGCTCCCCATTTTACATATAGTTTATCTGGTTCTTCCTATTTACTGTATTTAACATCATCAACTAAGCACACTGGAATTTATCCTGGCAGTTCATGACATTTCATAATGAAATTGATACTTTGCTATGTCAAGGGCAGTTCATAACATGCATCTTATCTGACTTGTGTTCTCTTTAAAGAAAATTGCAGAACGGGTAATCGCACCACACGAACCTAATTAAGCTCACGAAGCGCCAAACAGAGTAGTGCAAGTGTAGCCAAGAGTGCAGCAGGAAGGCAGCAACCAACAACCATTCTAACAGTAACAAGTATTTGTAAATAAGACCTCAATGTATATATATCGTCCCCTTTGTTTTTTTTTCTCCCTCTCTCTCTCTTCGGCTTTGATATCACTTCCATCCCCGGGCCAATAACCCATATATATATAGACACGCGCGCACTACGCGATGGCCACACATATACGTATGCAGTATTTATTATACATTGATAGCCAAGGGTACACCAGGAACCAACAACCATTCATTCGAACAGTAATAATTATCTCTGTGTTGTGTGTGTGTGTGTGTGTGTGTGTGTGTGTATCTGTGCCTATACTGCGTCCAGAAGTCTGTGCAGTATCCTCAGGGTTAGTGCGGGTATGATATGTGAAGTACTCTATACAGCAAGAGCAATAGGCGGATTGGCTTGGGAGACATCTCGAGGAGTGGACACGGCATCTCATAGAATTCAGAGGCCAATTGCGCAGACATCCTGGAGGTGCCGCTGATGCCAATGGTCTTTTCATTTTCTTTGGGCGGTGACTGCAACGAGAACTGGCTGGCCGACCACCGAACACGTATTAGGTACAGCCGTACAGCGCAGTTCTAGTGGATCCTCATCTATTTCTAGCCCCAGGATCCTCGACGTGCATGCATTTTTGCGGGTACACGTTGTGGCTTCGGATTCGGAGGAGCGCTACTCCCACCCACTGCATAATGATTGATTTGATTTAGCGAGTTCTTAAAATGGCCAATAGATTGTTGTCCAAATAATATAATTCAATTGACTAGGCACCTGGAGAATATCGGGTTGATGTTTCCATATTCGTCACTCAGATACCTAAAGAAATTAATTCTCAACAAAATCTTTGGTTATCCGTAGCTAGGTCATCTACAGCCAAGCCATCTATTTGTGCTTCTCTTAATCCGATTCACAAAAAGACACGAAGGTACTAAATTTATCTTTGATATATCCAGGTGTGATAAGATATTCGATGAATTAGTTAAAAATAGACATATCAAGGCGTTGCATACTCGACTATCGTTTAAACAATTGAAATGACAAGATCATTTTAAATGACATAACTCTTTTCTCAAGCGACTAGAGATTATAATGTTTCTGTCAACAGATCCAATCGACTCTAAACGAAGGATGGCTGAGTCTATGTTTATGTCAAAATCCATCTATATGCAAACGTCATCCGTGTGACATTGGTGCCTGATGATTATCTTAATTTTGCTCTTTTCTCTGGGGAGTGACGCCAACGACTTCCGGCTCACGGAACACTAAACACATCTATATCTTAGGTACAATAACTAATTTGCTCCACTCAAAAGGCCTTGGACAATATCGTTGGCAGCACGAAAGCCAGGAAGCGTCCATAGGACAGAGGCCACGTTTGTTTCTGTGTCTCGCGTTCGATTCACAAAAACGCGGGACAACCACACCAAACGCTGTCCATGAATCAGGCGAGAAAGTCCGTCCAGTTTTCAGTTGTATGTGTTGTTGGGGTTAGGCTTGGCTTGAGCCACATGTTCATGAGATCGATCTCCACTGCTGATGTTTTTGCTGCAGAACGCCTTTTCATGAAACGAATGAAGTGAAAGGAAGCAGCACTTCGCTAGCAGAGGTCGATGCAGCCCAAAGCATTCAGGTTGCAGAGTGAAGGACATCGTAATGTTCAAATGTAAATGACTGAATCGCCCTCTTAATTACCCAAAAGAGCAGTAGTCGTGCTATAGGTGTAAGCAGTAATTGGGAAAGTGACCAGTCGGATCCCCTATAAAATGAAACTCCAAGGCTTGAGTCTTTGAAAAGCGGTAATCGTATTTACATTGCTCTCACTCATTCAGTTTATGTAGCACAAACTATAAATGTTGCCAAGAGCACATCACGAACCCAACTACTCTAATAACTCCAATTATATATATGCAATGTGATATATACTTTGCATATGAATGACGTAAAGAGCTTGTCCATAAATCAGGGTCGTCACTCGTCAGCAAGAGGGCGGTATATATACAAGGGTACCTAATCTCCAAGAGTGCACGTATGTAGGAGAATGCAACAAGGCCAATAGTAGATAGGCTTAGGAGATGTCTGGAGCCCTAGACATCGAGTCAATGGAAAGCTATGTAGGACAGACACGTCCGTCGTTTCCTTAGCAGGAGTGAAATGCAGGGTCAGAGAAGCCGTCAGCTGTCCAAAGCTCATCGATGTGCCTTTGATAACAGATGATGTCCTTCGGTTTTCAAAAGCTTTTCCTCTTTTTTGCCAATGGCATAAAGAAAAAGAGTACAATTTCCCTGGACAAACAGAAAGAGTGCCACGAGGAATTTATATATGGAAAGCATAAGCAACTTTTGGTTCAGATGGTAGAACAGGCATAAAGTTTGGAGCCAACTACAGAAATATGTCACCTAAGCTTAGAGAGAGATGGGATTGACCTTAAATACCTTTTTGAGGAGAGTTGTGCTCCAGTGGACTCTTTTGAGGAAACTAACCAACCGATTTTTAGTTATTAAGTGATGCAGGCCATTTGTATTAAATGATAGTAAATATGGTGACATGGCACTATTTTAATGAGGACCGATGATTAAAGTTTCATCAGGATAAGCTTGCGTGTACCGTTTCCAATGTCTTGGAATCCGGTAAATCCATCATTGAGGTGCTCTCGTGACCAGCTCTTCCCCTCTCCTCCCAGTCGTACTTGTGGTGGTAGTGGCCGTGCCATGGCCCCTGCAGCTGCAGCCGAATAAGTGCCATTGTTCGTCCATGGGAGATTAGGAGCCTGCTACTACCACTGTTGCGGTGCGGCATGGCAGGGGAGAGGAAGCATTGGCTGGCACCATGGCCAAGCCCGAGGTCAAAGCCATGGCGGTGCCATACATGTCGTTGTCGTCATCCACCTCCATGAAGTGGAAGTTGCCTTGCACTTGAGCACCTCCATCAATCCCTCCTTGCCGCTGTTCATGAAATCGCTTCTGATCTTCCTCTTCTTTGTGATCCCTATCCAGATAGAAGATGCTTATTGATGCTACTGCTGTTTCTGTATGATGACAGAGCAAACAAAAAAAGGCCGATGGCTACCATGTGAAGGATGCTTTCTTGTGTGAAATTTTCATCTTTCTAGAGTGAATGTATTGTTGCTGCATCTCAGATATTTCTACTATTCTTTCTAGTACTTGGTGCTGCAGGATGGTGACCTAGATCCATGCCGAATAAATTGTGTATACATTGTTTCGATTGTCTATCTAATAGAGTGATTCAGAGTTTGAAAGTTCATTTCCTGTTCATATTTTAGTTTAGCCGTACACAACTAATGTTTCAAAGGATCATTGCCAAATGGTGAAGTCTATGACTTTTCTGAATCATGTGCGGTTACATAATTCATATATCGTATTTTTGGTGCCTCTCATCTGGATATAGCTGTAGTATTCATATATCGTATTTGATCACAACACTATGCAGCAATTTCATGTTGTGGCTTGCTTATAAAACTGTGCACTGAGAAAGATTATTCATTCATTGATCTAAACCTGTAAAAGTTATTTGGCACTTCAGAAATAACCCTACGAAACATATCACAATGGAACTCTCCCTCTGTCCCAAGAAAATTTTCTGCTTTGGCTCACGAAGCGCCAAACAGAGTACTGCAAATGTAGCCAAGGGAGCACCACCAACCAACAAGCGTTTCAACTCCAGTTATAAATTCGCTTAGACTCTGATATCACTTCCATCCTCAGGGCCAGTGCTATATATTCTACCTAGCATCCTCAGGGTTAGTACACATATGTATGTAGCATACAACAAGGCCAGTATGTGGATGGGTTTGAGAGACGTCAGGAACAGTGGGCATGGCTTCATAGGAAAGGATAGAGCTATAGTCAGTGTCGTTCCCTCCACAGGAGAAGTGTCGACATCAATCACATTCAGTTTCGTTTCCTGCAAACATATGCTCAGTGGCTTTGCCTGTTGTATCATTAGCTTCACAGTCTCCCTTCTTGCTCCACTATTCAGGCCTAGGACATTCCAGTTGAAAATTTTCAGATTGTTTTCATCCATTCCAGCAACCACATAACAACCAAGAGAGACCCATAGCCAGCAAGCCCACAATCTCACTGCCAACAAATATGATGACAGCCAGCCGAACACACAATCCCCAAACAGACTACCATCACCAAACAGCCTACACTGCTTCTTCAACAGCACTACATCACACTAGAGATTCAAACCAAACTTAACCGGTCGGCGCTGGCATTGACCTAACGCACATTGATAACTGAACCTGCAAACTT